ATAAACAAACTAGATAGTTGGATATAGTCTTGTAGTAGAATATTACTTTAAAGTAGAATAGAATAAATTATATTAAGTTATAAAAAAAGATATGTTGAGCCACAAAAAATTTATATTGAGCTACAATGAAGTTGTGTTGAGCCACACAAAAAGTTGTGTTGAGCCACAAAAAGTTGTGTTGAGCCACAGGTCATGTTGAGCTCTCAAGTCATGTTAAGCTGGCAGGCACTCTGGAGCAGTGCCCAGGTTGTGAGCGAGCGAGCAACCAGGGGTTGTGACGCTTAGTCACAACCTTGGCACGATTACTGGTGACTACCAAAACTGTATCACTGGTACCCTCACGGTCCCGATTCAGACTTGATTCGCATGCTTTAATAGCGGCAATGAGTTCTTCAGGTTGGTCAGGCTTAACTATCGTCGCTTGGAGATCCCTCCACTCATGCCATGATGGAGGTAATCCATTCAAGAGGTAGAAGCTCTTCTCTCGGACTTTGATCTCTTCCTTGGCCTCTCGCAAACATTCAACAATCCACTCCAGCTCATGAACAAACTTCACTGCCGTTCCATGTTCCTCAAGCATGCAGTCAAAAAGTGAGCGGCGAAAGTAGTATAGCTCCAGTCCCAGAGCCTTACGGTATCCCTCAGCCAATTTATCCCAGAGCACCTTACGGTCTTCATCATACTTGTCAGATGCATATTGCACACAAACGTGCGGCTCCATGGCATTTTGTATTTTCGCTGTAATTCTAAAGCACTTCCGCTGCCACTTGTCATAAGCAGTAATAGATGTCGGGTCTGTACCATCGCTTGCAGGAGCTACTTCCCGTCCAGACACAATCCACCCTAGATCCAACTCCTTTGGCTCGTCAGACATTGGCTGTCACCAGGGACCAAAGTTGGTATCTCCCCCCCCGGAGGGGAAAGGTAACACGTCCAATCTGATGGACATCAATGAGTTGCGACATCGGGTTGACAAAGATTAAAGTATACCGAGGAAACGGTGCGAAAAAATAATGGAGGAACCGGCAGTCAAACAAAAGCGAGATTCAAACGCAATAAAATATCCGGCATCTGACAGCGTAGCAGTTCACTAGCATTCAGATAGGCTTGTTTGTAGGGTGATTTTCGTAGGAAAAGCACAGAGGCTCATAACCTGTAGGCGTGGAGGTGTGAAGGAAGGAACATTATTGTGTTTACTAGCTACAAGGGGAAACCACTTAAGGTAGAAACACATAGCTGCCACACTTCACCCATGCCCCACATGCCTCTAACCCAGTACCCTCATCACTGCGAGGATAACCTCCAGTACTATCACACCATCAGCCAACAGTGAAGGACAACACGACCCTTGAAAGATAAAGTGCACCGAGAAATCCATCCGCACCCGGTACCTCAATGAAAAGAAGAGGGAATTTCGGAAAGGAACAAAAAACAAGAGCAATGCAAGGCAAAGCAACACACCACTCCCGACCACCTGACCCCCAAGATTTTCCCCTGATCGGCCTTCATGAGCAGAGCGGAGCTCGCTGTGTCTGAAATTTTGCAAGGGTGGGCATGAGGAAGAGATTTTGCTTAATCCAGGGCGTGTGGTATGATGCTCAGGGGGGATGCTAGTGGGTTTGTTGGTGGGGTTGTGGGTGATGCCTCTGCTTCTGCGCCTCGGGTAGCGGAGCTCGGCCCTATTGTGCTGTTGACGGGGGCTTACCGTTGACCGCGGGCCCGTGATACCTACCCTAATAACCGGGCAGACTTTCTTGATCGTATGATGTGATACTTATCGTGAGACCGAGCCCGCGGAAGTGCTTGCGGATTTCAATTCTGTTGGAAGCAATGGTAACAGGGAAGTATTGGCTGCGAATTTTTTGAAGGGGGAAGGGATATTATGGTTGAAAGATTGTGTGTCATAATAATTATTATATTCTGTCGGGAATTATGAAAATTTAAGTTCTACTAATAATCTAATCTATAGCCATCCTTGACTTTATTAAAGATCCTGCTCCCTGGAAATTAAGCGCCTTCTAACACTTGAGCACATCATGCCTCCCGCGCTCCGCCAATTCTTTCGAAATTCCATTCCGATCGCCCCCCGTTGGCATCATTACTTCTCACTCGATAAAAGAACACGAACCTGCAAAAACTAAGCCGTAAAACAAGGGAAAACAAAGGCGATTCACCCACTTCAAGAGCCAAATATACTCCCATTATCCCGGTGGTGATCCCGCAATCTCCAAGGTAACTCGCCACTGGACTCAACACCCCAGCTCTCTGATTGCCCAATTCACAAGCCACTGCTCTGGTCCCCTCAGCGCATCTAATATGGTCATGAATCGTCTGGCGACCGGATAAGTCTCCATACTTCTCATTACCAAAATCTCAAACTCAAACTCGGGGCTGCTGCTGGTGGGGTAGTACCTGACGTACTCCAACCAACACGGGAAGAACCCAGCACCCTCCCAGTCAATGATAGCCGAGATGCAACGGTTATGAACGAGGATATTACCCTGGTGTAAATCTGCGTGTGTCAACACGGCGGGGAACCCCTGGGGCATTATGGAGCGAAGGTTGATCAGCGCTTGCTGTATTTCCCCGGAAGGGCTCTCCTGGAGGTGAGAAGTTAGCGCTAGCCAGAGGGATTGGTTGTCGCCGAATGGGCCCCGAGCACTATTTCTCCCGTCGAAGAGAACGCCGTGCTCGTCGTGCAGCGGGCCACCGTCGAACGCGCGAATGGAGGGAGAGGTAATTCTGCGCAGTTCGTTAAGGTAACCCGAGAGTTGAAGGGCAAGCCTTTCCTTGCTTGGTCTATCAAGGTGCACCCAGACCTTGTGCAACGGTTCGCCCTCGACTTTCTCCATGATCAGGTGATGGATCTGGGCACCGTTGTGTTCGAGAGTCACCCACTCGTTGTAGATTATGGGGATGGGGATGTCGGTAGTGGCCTGGATGAGGGCGTGAATATCGGACTCGTACACGCCGGCCTTGTGTGGGCGGAATTTGTACAGTGTTCTGTTCCCCAAGTCGAATATTTGGCGGCTGCCGTGGTTACGGCAATAGATTCTACGGGCATTCGGGAAGCGGGTAAGTGGAGGGACTCGTGGAGGGACCTTTGCAATTGGGACTTGGTCGATGGCGACCCTGCGCATTGTAGTTGTTGGGTTTGTGGGTGAGAGTTTTGTTTGGAGATTATGGAGATGCTCGCACAGGTGCGCTAGTTTGATGCGTGTGAGTGAGTGAGTATGTGGCTGAGCAGTGGTGAGTGGGAATAATGGTGTAACTCGTTGGGAAAGCATTATATAAATTTTGGCCGGGACTCTTGTATTCAAGATCTAGGTACCTGTGACTGTTCGGCTATCGAACTACATTCACCGAGGGTTGGCAATGCAGATCAAGTTTCAAGTTTCAAGCTTCAAGGTTTGCCTAGTTTCGCTCCTAGTAAAGTTTGCCGAACCAGAGTAGAAAATATGATGGTATTTTCTGTTGTGTTTTGTTTTGTTTCATGAGGGGCAAATATGTCTGAAAACAGCGAATGTTTGTGTTTTCCCTATTCTTTCATCGATTTTGTTCAACTGCTGAACGCATCAGGAAAGCTATGTCTCAACCATGAGTGAAACAGCCATTCAGGCAACCCAGTAGACACCCCCGACGCCTGCTTGTGGCGCTGGCATCAGAAGACCATCATTGCTTCTCACTCGGTTAATATGGGGTTGAAGGGTGGGTCTACGCTGGCAATGGCCCCGCTCCGGGACAGGGGGCGAAAGTGATTCTGGGGGTTTCATATCTGCTCTCGGGGGTTTTTGTCCTTTTCCATTTTTTCTTCTGTTCCGTCCGGGTTACTGGGATAAAAGTCTTTGTTGCAGTCTGGTGAGAGCGGTTGGAGTATCATACCGTGGAAGGAGCAAGGGAATCTGATGAGATAGAGTTCTTAAGGCGATCCGATCTCTCGTTGAGATAAGAATTTATCTTATGGTAAAGGCCAATGAAACCTCACAGAGGCTTCAAGGGTCGGCGTTCGCTCCGACTATTGCAAGGATTTCCTATTCTTCCCTGCAGCCCGCCCGCCTCTACTGGGTCGCCGTATTGTTGATAGGTGGTGGGGCAGAAACTTTAAGAGCTTTTTCTCGGTTGCCGGTATGAATAAACCCCCCAAACAGCACCAACATTAGAGCGGACTTCACGGGCAGTAAACTAAAGAGGGGGGGGGAGAGAAACCAGTTGTGACCGAGCACTACCTGGACACTTGGTGAATGTGTGAAGCGTGTGGGTGAGGTGGGTCGGGGATATTTGTATCGGGGAGCTTTGATATCCGAGCTTTGGCGATGGGGCTCGTTCTCCCTCGAATACAGGTAACCCCCCCTGCTGCGCGGGTTCTGGATCTACTGTGATGGGCCTTTTGTAATGCTATGGTGGTAGCGAGCCAATTTCTGCATTTATTGTGTTGCGATTTAATTTATGTCACATTTGGTACCCCTGCTGATGTGTGGAGTTAGGGATTCGGATGGGTTGGTCACGTATTGGTGTGATACAATATTTTGAATGCAAAAGGGTTGGGGAGAGGAAATTTTAGATAGTGTACATATTGTGTGCGGACAACGACCTTAGTGGGTAAACACCGGCTTGTTGTGATGGAGGCTGCTATCAGAATGAGCAGTAGTACAGGAACGGAATAGGATAGAAGTTTGCTGTGGTAGGATAGCTGGGAAAGGTGCGTATTACGTCTTGCGTTCACTTTCCTCTAACTAATTGGTAATGGCAGGTGTATAAGTAAAACATCAAAGCAACCTGATCCCTCCATGGATCACTACACCCAACTCCGTAATTCCACGCTTGTCCAAGTTCCTCTACCCACTTCCGTGATAACAAAGGAATGGCGTGTCTCTAGAATCCTCTTCCAACCTTCAGGAAAATCTATGGTACTTGCGGGCACTGCAACGTACTCCAATGGCTTCCAGAAACGACTTGTCCTTCCAACATCCTTCCTGTGCCTTCCATGACCAACCATAACACAATATCTTTACCGATTCCAACACGACTGAGGGTAAGCATTTTGGACGCCTCATTCCCGATTGTCTGTCTTGAACGTTTCCGTAAGATCACGATGAGGACTGCGTCCCCTGACCCAGCTTGCTAGGGTCCACGTTCCCGTATTAATTTCCGTCCTGATTTAGACCATCAGGATTCTAGTACAGCGGAGGTAAGTTTTGGCTGGTCCCTTCATCTGTGGGAGTGACTGAAAAATCCCGTACTTTCATTCATCCCACAAATCTCCCGGTAAAGTTGGAAACGGCTAGTTGTGGATTAGAATAATAGACACCCCCTTGAAGATGAAATTAACTTGCTGGTTGCCCCGGGATCAAAACAAAGCATGTCGTCGGGTTGAACAAGGCCGTTTCCAATTCAGGCGTACACCTCCAGGTAAAACCATGTTGCGAGAGCCTCGTGAAGATAAGAAGGCATTTTCTATCAAATCACACTATTAGCAGTCAAGTCATGCACAATATTCCTCCATCACTATCTACTATTGAAGTAAAAGGGTATATACCTAGCAGAGTCCAAGCGGATGGGAGGAGTAACTGTGAGTGAAGGTGGGGAGCGGGAATGGAGTGCTTTGGGGAGATGGCTGTAGTTTGCACCAAGAGTACGCTGTAAATACTGCTTGGTGCAGCCAAAGTCTTGACGCGGAAGACAAACAGCCATGGTCAATTCGGCGGAAGAGAAACCCCTTTACGTGTTTGTCTGATATGGGAGTAAAAAGAAATCTGATGACGGGTATTTTGTGAATAAGTTCTGCATTCAAAATATCTAATAAGAGCTGTTTAATATTTTGCGGGGGTCAGATATCTAGCTTCTGCTCCTATTCATATAGAGATATCTTGCCGCACTGTGGATCTCATTGTAAGACAGTGTTCGCAAGCGGCTAGTCCGGTTAGGCTTCGGGCTGGCCCGGCAGACGTTATGTAGGATATCGGATATCCGCCGCAATCAGCGGTGTTCGGATCACGTGATTTCCCAAGTCGGTTTCTATCTATGATACTTAAGCATCCGAGGGTGGTAGAAAGACGTGGTCGTTCGTGCACAGGATCGGTGGAGAGGAGAGAAGGCGTTCGGTCATCAGACAAACAGCCAACTAATGACCCATATACTCGACGATTTTTGAAGTCTCCGGAATGGGAAATGAATAAGTGATGCACTGATGGCATAACTACTGGCTTCACCTCACCGATATTTGCAGGAACTTACAGTAACTTGGCACAGGGCCCGTAACCTACTTTCCGGAGACTTTAAAAAACGCCGAGTATCATATATAGACAACACCTCCGCTGGGGTAGAACCCCATACAAACACAGCAACTGGGGTATAACCCCATAAAGACAGCTCATTCCCTGACCTTCATATTATTATGATACATGCCTTCAGACTAACACCGTCACATACAGCCACCGGTACATATACATGGCCCACAGCAGGATTATACTACCATCAGCACCCTGTGGTCTTTGTTGCCTGGTTTGATTCTCTCACGAATGTTGTGTTCTGCTCGTCTGACATTCTAATCCATTGATACGAGTAACCGAGTGGGGTATTACGAATTATCTGCCCATTATTGATGCTTCGGTTGGCAAGTTATGTGTGCTCGCGGTGCCGTATGCCCGTTTCCCTGTGACTTGGTGAGAGCGTTATCTGGTTGGGGGGTTGGTTCCTGCTCGTTGTAATTTAGGTTTTGGAGAGTTGTCACTGGGATCACTGATCGTGACTCTTTGATATTAAGATCTTCGGCAGGGGATTAACCCGCTTGCTCCGCAAGCCGTTTCTACACTATTCTGCTTCGGGCACCCTCGCAAATAACCACTTACTGCTGCTTCAAATGGCATACGAGAGTGCTCCTCCATCCCTACTAAATATCTTTAAAATTACATGGGTTCAAAGCAAATCTCCTCGTTGACACGTTGAACAATCCCGTCCTTATGCACCGGCTCGTGCCCTCGCAAAACAAGCGTAGTTTCTTGAAATCCGCCCTTAACCGCGACGTCCAATGCTGTATCCCCGTTACAATTTTTCAACGCAACATCAACCCCCCCACCACCACGCTTCATAAACAACAGCCAGGCAAGACCACCCTGCTCCCGACGAGCTGCCACATGCAGCGGTGTCTCCAGACAATTGTTAATAGCGTTAAAATCAAACCTCCCATCTTCAAGCAATATCCACATCATTCCTAGCGAGTCACTACGAGCTGCGCAATGCAATATTGTCTCACCTCCCGAATTCCGGAAGTTGACATCGAGTCGGGGATCCCGTAAAAACCCTTGTAGACATTTCCCTTTAACCGGAGATGGTGAGAAGGGCAGATTCAGGGCCGCATCGTTAACAGCTTTGGCGTCGAACCTCCCCTCCGCGAGTAATATCCTGGAAATACCGGGAGTTGTGGAGGACACTGCTACCTGCAGCGCCGTACCGTTCCATCTATTCTTTGTGCTTGGGTCGAAGCTTTTGTGCGAGAGAATACAACGCACACATTCCCGCGCCGCCTGGTCTGCAGACTCTCCTGACCGGAAACCTTTGATCGCTAGTTCTAGTGGCGTGCAACCGCAGCCGCTTAAGGCGTTCACGTCTATTCTTCCATCTTCCACCAAGAGTCGGAGGATGTGCGGGTGTCCGTATCGCGCAGCGGTATGGATCGCTGATTCTAGGTCGCGGCTTACGACATTGACGTCGACTCTTGGGTCCGCGAGCAGTTCTCTTACTATAGAAATTTCCCCGGAGCGGGCGCCGTTTAGTAACGGGTTCTCCCCGGAACTACCGAACCTGTTCGGGTCCACGCGTGGGTCTTGTATGAGGAGGCGAAATACGGAGACATTTCCGTTAGACGCGGCGAGGGCAATAGGGGTATATCTGAAGTGTACACGAAGGTTTACGTCCGTCCTCGGATGCCCAAGGAGGATTCTGACCATTTCCGCATTCCCGGAGGAGACGGCAGCTAACAGCGGAGTTTTCCAACCGAGCGGGACGTTCAGATTGTACTCGTACGATTCGACATTAACCTCTACGTCGTCCCGCCCAATTAGAAACCTAACGACCTTCACACTCTCCGCCTCGACCGCGCGTGTTAGGAGAGCTGAATAGGAAGAATCGGCATGATCTGGGGGGACCCCGCAACTTATTAACGCACACACGAGGTCGTCATTTTTGGAAACCTCGAGTGCATGTTGGAGAATTCCGCCCTTTTCTATAAACTCTAGGATCCCCCGAGCGATAAGGGCACGTACGGTGGCCGTATCACCATGGGAAGCGGCGTGAAAGAGCGCGCGTCTGCCATCTATGAAGGAGCGCGAACTGAATAAGGTGTTGTACAACACTGGTTTGAGTAGCTGGGATAAGCGGCGGTTGGTGAGGAGGAGGGAGTGAATATCCGAGAGGGATTGGTATTGTGAGACATTGAGGAGGAGCTCATTTGGGAGGGATAGAAGGGGTATTCTAGGAGATAGGCGCTGATGTTGCTGGTGGAGATGTTTGGTGGGTTGATGTGAAGCTGAACTGTACTAGTGCGCTGGTACTTGTACTGTGCTCGGGGGTATCATAGCGCGGAAGCGAGGTTTCTGGTGCCAAGACTTCTGGGCTTAGCCATGTCAGAATCAGGATCCAACGGGTATTACTGGAGAGGGTCCTTGGGGGCAGAGAATATATTTCGCCGAGTGCACCTTCCTAGCTCACAAGTGCAAGTCCTCCACAAACCTGCCGGGAGCCGTTCTTGAGCGGTTGTAATCAGAAAAATTACGATTCTTCTATCTTTTTCTCTTTTGCGCTTTGGGGATTGCGGACCTCAACCCTACGATTTGGATGACTTATGGTTTAGTTGCTGTTTCTACCACTTTGGATGTTGACAGGTCAGATTTAAGCTGCGAGTTTATCAAGCAAGGGAAGGGTCCTGAGCCTCCCGGTTTCCACTCGGTGGGACTTCTCATTTCCCCCGCATTTTGTGATGGATTGTTCAGTGTGGCGTGCCGTGTGGGGAATTGAACTCCTGGATTCCTCATACTTGCCCGGGGATTAATTGGTTCTCGGCGTCTTAGCGACCCTACTGTACCGGCAAGCTCATGAATCACTCGGGTGTATTTGCGTGCCGTACAATGTGGTACGACAGTTCTGTTCCGTTGCCCTATGCAAGTGACCGCTGCCTTTCAGTTCAAAAATTCTGAGACAACCGTTTCTACGGGCAAAATCGCTACAAGAATGAACGGTTGTCCTTCCTTCAGCTTTTGCCGGACAGACCCTCAATATTACTGTGGAGGCAGGGGTTTGTCCTGATAGCAAGTGGGTTTGGTTTCTTCCCGCGCGAGGTTGAGCACAGCGGCTCTGTGCAGAGGGTATATATGCTAGGAAAGGAGAAATTCTGGGGGGAAGATAGATTTTAGAAGTTAATAGCTGAAAACAAGCTCCCCCTATTTTTAGACTAAAGGAGTGATCATCGCAAGAACCTTAATTGTGAAAAGAAGGGGTATGTTTGACTGGGGATAAGGTAGTATTTGGGCGGGCATCGTGCGGTAATAAGTGTACAGTGTAGGAGCGATGCGGATTCGTGACTTATGGTAGTACCGTTATGGGAATTATAACCGCCTTTATCAAGTGAGTCCCCATTTATACCTGCTGGAATCGAAATTTCTTTGCAATAGCACATCCTGACTACTACCTTTTGGTACAGCAAGAGGAGAATTGACTACTTGAAATAGCTGGTTGTCTATATTCCGAAAACCCGGAGAGATACAGTGGAGGAGAGATGGGGACGGTTGATGAGATTGTTTTCATCCCCGTTGGAGAGGTGGTAGCCGATGTTAAGGCGTAACCGGCCTTACCCTAATGTTCTTCACTTGGGGGATATAATATTATGATACATGTAGTACACTCGTATCCGCAAAGTTCTCATAACGCCTCGGGTATCCCCATAACTCCTGGTGTAAGATAGCAAGATAGGAGCGGGTCTCCCTGAGGGATCTTTTTAGCCAGGTGATGCCAAATTCCGGAAAGAATTTTCCCATTATCTTGCCCTTAAATAACTGCCGCAATCTTCTGGTGGAAGACTGGGGAGACTTTGCGGTACAGTAAATTAGACTTTACGAGAACTTTGCCGATAGTGGTGTACCCAGTGTACTATCAATTGTATACTCTTCGGGGGGTTGGTTTTGCAACGCCGGCCACTTGAACTGGTGTACTTTGTGTAGGCTCCCGGGAATTAGAGTTAATCTATTTTCTAAGCCGTGATAGATGTTCCTTCGTTAGTGCGTGTTCATTTTTAACTACGTCAGGGAACCCTTAGTGGACGAGAAATCAAGGCTGTTACCGGATATGCCATCCTCCTGTAAGTTAATCATACGGTATAATCTACTATACCGCATTAATTGGTTAAACTGGAAATGGGGCTAAGACTCGGGGATCGACATCTGAGGCAAAAAAAGGGGGTGGCAATTTAAGCGAATATCAGAATATCAGAATTAGATCGAGTGATATGTGGTGATGACATGAATATAAAGTGCCAGCTGGCTTCAGTTTTCATTCCCGATCTACAAACTCTATAGTATCATCGTGCACAACCTCAAGCTCACAATCTGAATGCAATGCCGGACCTGCCTCCCCTACCCCTGCCATATTTCCCTCCCTTTACCTCCAATTGCCTATCCTCAGTAGTCTTGAATCGATACCTTTGACAGCTAACTCATTATCACATGAGCCATCAATTGGGAGTGTAAGTCCCAATTTGCGAAAGGTGGTAATCACAAACTCTTGGTGTGATTGGCTAAACTCCTCCCAGGCTTGACCTACAGCATGAGTAACAAGAATGCGCCTTTCAGCAATTGCAGAGGTGTTGGAGTGGTGAAGCTCGCTGTTACGAACTGTGACTAAGCAAGGCAGATTTCACATAACTCGGATTTCCGAGTTGTAGGTATGTTAGGATTTCACATGACGTGCGCTAGTGCGCCATAAGTTATTATATTTACCTGTTCGTGACTCACAGTTGTGAGTCACGCGATGTTATGATTTTGGCACATGACTCATAATTATGAGTCATGGGTTTCACTCAGGTGATGCGAGTTGTGCACCTGACTTGGTTATTATGTTTTAATTGGTTTAGGCATGTTGCGCAGCAACTCATAGGAGTTGTCTGATGGATTTCGCATGACTCATGGTTATGAGTCACAGGGTTCGTGTGACACGAGGTATGAGTCACGCCAGGTGAAGAGCAACTATAGAAAGGGTCACTAGGACCCTGAGTATGAGCTCTTCACACGTTCTTCTTGTTTATTTCCTACCCCTAAATTATAATTAATAAAACCTACCTTTACGCTCTTTAAGATTTATCTTAAGAAACCCAAGAATTGTCTTTCCTCTCATGTGAAGAGATTAAGTCCTAAGCGAGGACTAAGGAGAAGAGTAAGAAGATAGGCACGAATAAGATAGTAGTCACAGGATTGGACTATGGGGATCGCGTAGGCATAGGCCTAAGAACTATCACCTTACCCCAAGAGAAGTATTGTTACCTGTCACCCAGTCCTACTCGTTAGGATTCTTAACATTAGAATGTGTCTCTACAACGCGACACTTATCGATTACACTACGGATCCTTTCAACAGAGATCACGAGGGAGACATAGATGTTCAAGACGACAGTCGAGGCCTAGGAGGATTGGAAGAAGCTCTTAGCAAAGCAAGCAGACACTCAGCAAGATCAAGAAGCCCCGTCACCCCGTCACCCATCACTCCACCTATACCAGAAGAAACTCCAGACACACCAAGACCTGAAAGAATGTCAGGATCAGCACCACCACCAGGTCCACCAGCAGGGCCACCACCAGCAGGACCAGCCCTGTTCACTCGAGAAGAAGTACAACAGATGATATGAGAGGAATTCCGAAACAAGGATCAGAAACCAAAAGTCAAAACACCACCAAGATATGATGGTGAAAGAAGTAAACTAAGAGGATTCATGGTCCAACTCCTCACATACTTCAATGCAGTAGGATGGAACCAAGGATACGACAACGACAAGATACGCTACACCTTGATGCTACTTGAAGGAGTGGTCCTACAGTGGGTTACTCCTATAGTACTCAGTCAGACACCAGTACCATGGACAACCTGGGACAGCTTCAAAATCATATTTGAATCACAGTTTATGAACATAGAACTGAGCCAATGAGCGCGGGACAAATTGGAAGACATCAGACAAGGAACAAAGAATGTTACCGATTACTGGTACGAATTCAGACTTCTCCAATACGATGCCGAATGCGATGCAGCAACAGCAATGAGGTGGTTTATGAAAGGCCTGAAGAGGACCTATCAAGAAGCCTGGAGATTCAGCAAAGAAAAGTTCACGACTACAGAAGCCATGGCCAACTGGGCCGTTTGAAAGGGAATTCAATTTGGACAACTAGACTGGATACAGAAAAATCAGCCAGGCTCAATCCAGTCTAGCCAGACATATACCAGAAACCAAAACACCACCAGGAATGAGAATGGAAGCTATAGGACCACCACACAAGGAGGCGATGCAATGGACCTAGACGCCACAAGGAAAAGACCGTCACTCAACCTGGGAAGAGATGAATACCTTAGGAGACGAAATAATAATTTGTGCCTAAGATGCGGAATAGCAGGGCCCATGATTAAGGATTGCAGACGGCCTGCCAACCCAAACCAAGGAAGGAGTCAACAAAGTACCAGACCAAGTGCCAGATTCCAACCCCGCAGCAATATAAGAGAAATCAATATCGAAGAAGAATACGAAACGGTGGCAAAAGACAAAGGTCCTCAGCAATAGATGGTCTGTGGGACCCTCCGGAAGACAAACCCATCTCGAAGGCCAACTACTACACTCTTTTAAGTCAGAAAGCAAATAATAACGACAATGATCACATCATGATTGAAACCACAATATACAATGACAAAAAACAAGCAACTGGGATACATGCGATGCTCGACTCAGAAGCAACTGAAGACTTCATAGACGAAGATGTCTGCAAGAGACATCAGTTAAAGACCAAGAAAACGAAAAAGAAAGGCAGATTTACCTCGCAGATGGAAAGCCCAGCGATATGGGGCCAATTACCCATACAGCGCAAGTACATATAAACATTGGGAATCATAGGGAAGTGGCGACCTTCCAAGTAGCGAATCTGCAACACCATGAGAT